CGGGAGCCGGAGCCCCTCTGCTGATGTGTCGCTGCTTGCTTCTTTGCCTCTCATCCCCCCTCCTCCCGTGTCCCCCCCAGTGGCCCTCTCACCCTTCACTGTAACACGCCGTATAGGTCACCCCTACCAGAACCGCACGCCCCCCAAGAAGAAGAAGCCGCGCACCTCCTTCACCCGCCTGCAGATCTGCGAGCTGGAGAAGCGCTTCCACCGGCAGAAGTACCTGGCCTCGGCCGAGCGCGCTGCCCTGGCCAAGGCCCTCAAGATGACGGACGCCCAGGTGAAGACCTGGTTCCAGAACCGGCGCACCAAGTGGAGGTGAGGGGCTGGGGGTACTCGGTGGACTCAGGGGGGCAGCCCTAGGGGAGCAGGCCTGACTCCACCAGCTCCGTGGGGGGAACTGGTGGCTGGGCGTGGGGCACGAGCCGTGTGAGCGCACACACCGGGGAGTCACGCATGTGTGTGCACACATTCATGCACACGCATGACTCCCTGGTGTGTGCGCTCGCATGTGTGTGCATGCACAGCCGGGTGTGTTCCTGCAGCGCCTGGGGGTATGACTGTGCCTGTGGGGTGTGTGTGTAGGCCGCGTGTGCACATGCCCATGCACGTGTGTGCACACCTGGGGGGTGTGTGCAAACAAGCCGTGTGTGTAACTGCACAGTGAGTGTGAATGCTTTTGTGTGAAGCCCACGTGCGTGTGAGTGTGTGGCCCCATGTCCTGTGTGCCTGTGTGTGAGCAGGCACAGGGCTGTGCATGCACACTGGACGGCTGCATGTGCATCGTGTGTGTGTGCTGTGCGAGCACACCAGGTCTGCGTGCAGGTAGCCACACATGTATGCACCATGGATGAATGGGTGTGCGTGGGGGACGTGCGGTGGGCACAGGTGGTGTCACCAGGAATCCTGTGGGTGTGGTGGCCCTTGTACCCCTTTCCCTGGCAGCAGGGTGTGGGAGCCCCCGACCCGGCAGCGGGGTGCGGGGGCAGAGGGGAGCGGGAGGGAGCTGGACCCGCCGGTGCATGGCCGTGGGGGCAACGGGACCCTCCGGTGCTGGGGCAGGGCCACAGCCCTGCGTGGGAGTGTGGTTTGGGCCGGATCCTGCACCTGGGGCTTCCGGGATATTGTAAACCCTATGAAGATTTTCACCCCTGTGGGGTTTACAGCACTCCTTGGCCCACATGCTTGCATTTTGTTCTGCCGGGTGTGATGGTTAAAGCCGGGCAGGCGAGGAAGAGGAGGCCTCTTGGGCTCCCTTGCTGTGACCTTGCTCCTCCTAGGCTGCAGCTTCCCGGGGTGTCTCCGGGGAAGGCACCCCAGTCCTGGGAGCATCCCATGCCCTGTCTTGCGCTGGGGACAGGCACCCTGCAGGGGGTGGGGGGTTGGCGCTGGGCAAGGAGCAGTTCCCCTGACAGGTCAGAGAAGTGGGGTGTTGCTGGGTGCTGAACATCAGGTGCTTGGGTGCAGGCAGGCAGTAGTTTCTTCAGGGTGGGGAAAAAGGGCTTCCTCGGGGTCTCCCCGAGGGTGAATGGGATTGTGATTGCCTGGGGATGGATAAGAAATGAGGGACAAGGAACATGAATTCCCTCACCGAGTCCTTCCCTGAAGAGTCCATGGAAGAGCAGCTTCCCAAGTGCCAGGAAGTCTCTGGCTAGCTGGGAGCAGAGTCTTGGAGGAAGAACAGTCCTGCCATTGCCGTCGAAATGGGGTCAGCTATGTCTTCTAGCCTGGTTTCCTAAGGAAGTGAGGCAAATGTGGCTTGGCTGACTCTCCATTTGTCTGTCAATACTCTTTGCGTCTGTTGGCTAAGTTCGGCCCCCTTTGGCAGAGGAGCAGAGGATACAAATGTATTCATATGTTTCACAAAAGACAGTTGGATAAATAGAAAGAAACTTGGCTAAACCTGGTTCTGCCTAAGGGAAAGGCTGCAGCCTGACCTCAGCCATACTATTAAACGTGGGAGAATCCCCACTGGCCTAAGCCAGAAGGATGCAGGATTCTAAGCTCTGCTTCTTTCCATCTGTGCACGCTGGGTGTTGTGATGGAGCTTTGGGTGTCCCTGGCCGATAGCGTGTCTGGCTCGCTGCCCCTCACCCCCATGCAGGACAGTGGGCTCTGAGCGGTGCCTGGAGTGCTGGGTGCTGGAAGGAGCCACTTGCAGGCGCAGTCTGAACTATATCTGAGAAAAAAGTTTCTTTAAACCCTCTGAGAGATTTAACAGCTTAAATAAATGCAGGCTTAGGGGGGGGAGTCTTGCTTCTGTCCCTTATCCAGGTGCCTCTGCTGGAATGAGGTGGCTCTGTGATCTGCTGTCTAGATTTGGGCTCTTGCTTGAGATACGGGCATTGAGGTTTAGTTCCTTCCAGGCAGATTTGAACCTGCAAATCCTAGGCTGACATGAATGCTTGGAGCAGGGAGATATATGGGAGCCGAGTGCTCACAGCCACAGTGCTCCTAACTGCCCTGGACATGGGGCTCCCTCCTCCCAGAGCATCTCTTCATTGTGCAAGGGGTCATTAAATATTCATCGAGGCAGAGATGGAGCTGCTCCTGGGCTGCACAGGGAGGGCGGGTTCTGCTCTGAGCCCTCTCTCCCCAGAATGTCTGCCGTGAGATGTTGACACAGTGATTAGAACAGGGACTGAGCCCTGAGCTACCTGCTCAGAGGCCCTGGCCACATGCCTGGAGGCTCGGGTGCCCTGGAGGCCCATCACCTGCATCCAGCCCTCACCTGCTTCACCCGTGGGGAGCCAGGGACCCCTGCCCCGTGCTCTGAGATGTCACCACGGAGCTCGAAGCTGCCACTTCCAATCCCCACAGCCAAGGAAGATGAGATATCTTGCATCCTTCTGAGCTGCTAAATTAAAAAGCTGCCGTTTCCCCTGTCACTGATCCACTGAAGCTGCCAGGAGAGCGTCAGCTGGGCCTGGGGCTGTGAGGGAGGGAGGGGGTGCTTTGGGGATCATCCCAGGATGGGCACTGTGAGCTGTCTCCAGGTTTTCCCAGCAGTGTCCCTGGTGCTAGGTGATGTTCACCAGCAAAAGCAGAAGTGACTGCAGGCTACAGCCTCCAGACTGACCCACTATCCAGGCAAGGGATGGTGTGGGATTTTCATTGTGGATTTAAGTGTGTTGAGGCCATTTCTACCTATCCTGTCCCTTCCTCTCAGACAACCCAGACCTGGCACCCTACAAGCACTGGAAAGGACGCCGGCTTTGATTCTTCTCACTGCTAAAAATGTGTTTCTAGTGTTTAGATTACTTTTTGCTGATTATTGTCCTGCCTGCCGTGGTATGTTGTTGCTTTCATCCAGACTCTGGACAGCTGGCCACCACAGCCCTGTAGAGGAGGTGGCAGACCTGGGTGCTGGGAAGGGGATGCTCAGGGTGACATTGCCCATGTCCCAGCTGTGTGACACTGCCTGTCAGTGATGTCTCACCTTGCTCCTGCCCTGTGCTCCTTGCTGGGATACCGTGCACTTGGCTCTTGCTGCTGGGTGTGGAGCTCATTTGCAGGGAATTGCACTTTTTGCAACCCAGTTGTGCCCTTTCCCTTTGGGTGTTTTGGCTCTGCTGGATTTTTCCCATGGGCAGAAAATAAACCAAAGCTGTGGGCTGCTCCTGGCTCTCTTTGATTGGAGCAATTTTTGCTGGGGCTGGTAAGATAGACAGCCCCAGTCCCCAGTTTATGGGATGTACTGGCAGTTTGTGCAGGGGATGTGGAACCAGGCAGTGGCTGGGCACCCTCTTTTCCTACCTTCCCCAGCCCTAAGCACCCAGCACAACCTATTCCCTCCAGAGATACCCCTCCTTTGCTCCCCCAGGCCCCCCTAACTGCTCCCTCTCTCCTAGGAGGCAGACAGCAGAGGAGCGGGAGGCCGAGCGGCAGCAAGCAAACCGCATCCTCATGCAGCTGCAGCAGGAGGCCTTCCAAAAAACCATCAACCAGCCCATCCAAGCCGACCCCATCTGTGTCCACAACTCCTCTCTCTTCGCTCTCCAGAACCTCCAGCCTTGGTCTGATGACTCCACCAAGATCACCAGCGTCACCACTGTTGCTTCCGCTTGTGAATAAGGCTGGTGCCCACTGGCGGCACGTGCACCTTCTGCTGGCAGGGCTGTCCCTGAGGGGACACGTGGCATCCCTGTTTCTCCCCGGGGAAGGCTGGCACCCCACAGTACTCTGGCCACATGTACATCCCATGTGTCCGGCTGGAGAAACCCTCCATGAGGACTGAAAGGAAGAGAAACCACCCCAAAAACTCTCCCCACCGTGGGGTTGCTGGAGCAGCAGTGGTGTCTCGCCTCCCACCAACCCTTTTGTTCTCTTGAAAGTCTCTGGTGCCGACTGTGAACTTGCTGACATGCTGCCAGACAAAAGCCCAGCCCTGACAGACACGGCCGCCGGCATTCACCCAGATGGGGGAGAGAAAACTTTGGATTCTGCTGGCAGCAGTGCAAAGTCTGGAGTCACCCTTATATATCCGTGTATATATATATATATATATATATATATAGACACACAAGTATACTTTGGACTGATGGCTTGAAATGAAAGGAGGCTCCTTGGAAAGCGTGTCTCTGCCACGAGCCTCCTCGGGCCGTCCGTGCCGGAGATGTTCAGGGATGCAACAAATGGAGGAAACAGCAGCAATTTCTGCTTGCGCCAGATGGGAACCCTTCGGATCTCACTTCGCCATCTCTCCTCCCTTTTTTCATTAATTTTTTCTTGCAAGGGGAGAATAAGAGAAGGATCTGACAGACTCCTGAGGACGGTAAATATGATATCTCAATTGTATGAAGGGCCCAAACTGTCCCCGGCTGCCATGGACTCCATGCCCATCAGCGTGTATTTTAATAATGAGAAGACCTTGGTGGCAGTTTGTAGGGGTAATGCAGTTTCTTTCCATGGATTATTTCCATATCATTTGCAAAACATTGTCCAATGTTTTATTTTACCTGTTTCTCTTTAGAATGCGGTTCCTGATGGCAAAAAATCAATTTCACTCTCAACTGTTTAACTTAGTTGTTTCTTTAATTGTACCAAGGGAATGAGACACAATTAAACAAAGCACTTCTTATAGCAAATGCCAGGAATATATATATATATATATACAGTATATATTTTTCAGTTACATATAATCTAAAACAGCACTGCCAATTTAAGCAGCTAGTACAAACAAGCAATCAGAAAACCTATTTTCAGTGAGATTTTTAAAGGCATTCGTTTGTTTGGGTTTTTTTAAGTTATGCACTTATAAGGTGTTTTATGTGTATTCATTTTATAAAGTGCTTGTGTAATTTATGTGGAAACAAAAATGAAAATAAAAAAAAAAATCTCCAGGGTACTGAATAAATCATTTAAAGCCTTGCTCTTCCCTGTCTATTAGTTCCCTGAGAGGAGACAGCGAATCACAACTACTGCCAAAGCCTCTGCTATTTTTTATAAATGAAAATAGAGTTAGCATTTCCATTTGACTTTGCTCAGATCCGCTTGGTTTTGGAAGATCCCGAGGTAATTTGCTGTATTTTAATCCCCAATCTTGTAAACATTTTCAGGCTTCAACCCAGGAATGCATTTAGGACCTCCCTTAATCAAAGCCCTTCTGGGGAGCTTGCCGGGAGCGGCAGGAATTGTGTAGGGACTTGGCCTTAAACTTATGTTGAATAATTTCTTGAATAAGACCTTGGTCTCTCCTGGGATGGTGGGGTCTAGAGATATTTATGTCTGAAACTTCATATGGAAAGGGGCATTTGAATATAAAGAAATGCACAAGAGTGCGTTTCAGAGACAATCTTTCAGGGATTTATCCTAGGGACCCTGTTTTCTATCATGCTCAACTTTATCAAGGGACATTGTCCCCAGCTAGGCAAGCCTTTCTCAGAGGAGAATCAAACCAGTGGGAAAACTGCCATCAGCTTCCTTGGGGGAGACTTCCACCTTAGAGCTGGGGAAGCTGGGTTGATTTCAGCCTGGTATTTCCTTCCAGCATTGGGAATTAGTGGATAAAGAATGTTGGAGAAGAGGACATGGGCTACAAAATAACCTGAGCCTTTAATATCTGGTGTTTGATAGCATTCCTGGAAGCTGGGTCCTCTGGGTGCAGCTTTGTTGGGGAGCTTGTTAAGGGAGCATGTGAATAGCATGCTTTATCCAAAATCTATTATTGCAGGATTGAGCTCAAAAATTTTTGGTGCTGCAGGATTTTCCCATCCTGCAGTCCAATGTGCAAGTGAATACAGAGAAACATCTGCAATGATGGAGAGACAAGAAACCAGGGGGGAAAAAAAAAAAAAAGGAAAAAGAAAACAGGAAAATATTTTTTGAGACATCTTTAAAAGATACGCCAAAACACCTGCTAAAATAAAACACCTTGTATTTTTTTCCAAGATAAATTTCACAGAATTCTTTTGTTTGAATTCTGTTTCATACCACAGAGATTTTTAGGAGCTGATTAGGCTAATTTAATATGTGACCAGCTTTTACTACAAAGATAATGCTGGGCTTAGGGATTACTCCTTCAGGAGGCATTGCTCTGTACAAATCTTTAATGGTTTACAGTTTGCTGCAGTGTATGTTTTTGGTTTCAAGGTTTCTGTGTAGGAAGAAGCACCAACCACAAAATATTTTTTTTAAAAAAGGATGATAGAGCTCACTGTTGATATTAAAAGTGTTTTCTATTTTATTTTCATGACACATCAATATCACAAAATTTAATTCCAAGACAGCCATTTTATAATATCCACATTATTCGGTTCATATTCCAAAATGTTTCCCAGCAAAGTTGAATGTATGATAAGGCACATTAGAGCTCATGAGTTTAGATACAATATTTAGCTACATCTTGTTCTCAAAACTGTTGACTTCCTCCTTTTCTTATCAATCTTTCCTGTTAAAAAAGAAAACCTAAAGAAAAAAAAAAAAGAAATCTTGATATGAAATGACAATATATGTAACATTGGAACCAGAAAAATAGTCATCTGGTCTTTCTTGTCCCTGGAACAATTGTGTTTGGAAGGGGTTTCTGTTAAAATATTTCTCCTGGATTCATTTTAAAAATTGGTTTAGTGGCAGGAGGTGTTTTTGATATCTGCATATGTGTTTCCAGTTATTAATATGATGATCTGTACCTAGACAATAAAAGTTGTCTGAAATATGATGAAATTAAATCAATAAGCAATGACATGAAACAGTGACACATAATGATATGTTTTGTAGACCGACATCACCGCAGCCATATCCAGGGGCCATCCATACCACATTGAAGGCTGATTTAATTTTTCATATTATACCTGTTTTGGAACAGGAATAAAATTGTATTAAAATGCCTTGAAAGTTATTTCCCCCTTCCCTCGGTCTCAAAATATAGCGAATCCCAAATGTGAAATGGGAGTTAGGAAGAAATGTTTTTCCACTGTTTACCAGTATCTAGGAAATACAGACCAAGGTAGGCTTGGGCTGGAAGGGGGAATCCTGTGTGGCACCCGCAGCCAAGGGCACATGAGCATCGCAGGAGAGTGCACGGAGGCCGTGCACGGCTCTATCGCCCACAACGCTGCCAGGGACCAGGAGCCATCGATCACATTGAGTTGGCTATAGGTATACTGAGCTTTTGAAAGCAATATCTGGGGCGGAGGGAAGCACCGTCTTTACGTGAGCAAGAGTATTAAACATCTGTGTGGAGCTGGAAGAGACAAAGCCCAGCTGGATGGGCTGCGGTTGTCTGGGTTTGGTCCCAGCTCAACAAACCATGTGGGCAGGAGGGAACCAGGGGTCTGGCCCCCATTTAGCCAATTAGTTAAGCACATGAGTCATCCAAATGAGGATCAGTCGGTTTATCTTTGCAGAGGGATGAGCCCAGGGAAAAGCTGAAGGGTCTTTGCTGGAGCTTCCTGACTTGATTGGAGCCTGCAGTTGTGCTTTTTCCTGGGCACAGGCCAGCAATTTGGCCCCTTGCAGTACTTGCACGCCCCAAATTCTATGTGAGTACTCATAAAGACCACATGCAGCTTTTCTTGGGCTGTGTTATCTCATGTGTGGGGCATTTGTTGTATGTTTAATGCTGTTTTTCCTGCAGCAGCATCTGTGAGAGTCACCTGTACGTGGTATTTGCTGGAGGAAGACCCAGGCGGGTGTGTGTCCTCTAATACAGTTTGTATCATTAATCATAAAGAGAGGCTTTGACCCCACAAACACCCATCTATAGGATCATTTTCATGACCTCACTGGGACTGTAGATCGGTACTTTTGGATGTGCTCCTAACTAACCAACACACGAAAATAAAAGCTTAAAAATGGGGGTGCTGACTTGGCACGGTGTCAGCAGGAGCCCAGCCCTGCGGGACGCAGCCCCCTCCTCACTTCCCAGGACAGCTTACGCGTAGTTGTGGGCTAGATGAGGTAGAAAATGCAAGCCAATTTACTGACAAAACTGAAAATGGCTTTGCTGAAAGCTGTTTGGGTTACAGTAAAAAGCCAGCCCTGTCTGGGGTTCTGGGACAGCTGGAACTTTTTGAATTAATCTATTTTTTTTTTTTTTCCTGCCAGAAGCAGACTGTCTGAGTGACACTGATTTCTTTGTGCAACAATGAGCTTTGATTGCCGCTTATTTTAAGAACGTCCAAATAAGATTTGGAATTATCAAAATATCCTGTTTTGAAATTTTCTAAATGACAGGGTCTCAATTTGTGAAGAAAAATCAGAATTAAAAAAAAAAATTTAACAAATATTAAGGAATGAAGAAAAGTACACAAAGCTATAGATTATCATAGCAAGCTTCTGCTGGAGTCAAGCCATTCAGACTATCTCCATTTTTTCAGATATTTTATTTGTGAAGTTAGCTGGGACTTTGATTTTTAAATTATTGTTGTTCTTACTATTTTTGCCTTTGTTAAAACACAAATTTTCTTTTTGATATGTCAGTGCTTGCCCAAAATTAGGATAGAGGTTCTTTGCCCTTATTCCCTTCCATTGTTCAGAAGCTCCTTGTTATTTTGATAGTTTAAAATGGAGTCTATTCAATTCAAATGTATCAAAGAATTATTTTTTTTTCTGAAGGCACCAAAAAAATCTTG